AATTTTAAGCATAAAAATAAAAATCCCTTCTGGTCTTACCTAATGTGACAGGCTGTGTAACACAATCCTCACAATTAAATTCTAATTTCTGCATCCACCTCAGCAACCTCTGGTTGTATTAGAGGTCGTATTTCACATTACACAGACACACACCTGCTACACAGTAGAACTTGATCTTAAAAATGCACTCAATTTTCTATTTTGACATTAATCTCCACTCTCTCAAATGCTGATGATCCTTTGCCAGTGAGACTGTGCAGGGCAATTGGCCTGGGCAGTTTTCCAAATTCAATATGACATTGCAAGCACTCACCAGCTCTGAATATTCACTGTTCACTCACCTCCAAGAACAAAATACAAGAAATACAAAGGAACATGAGGCTAAAAGCATTTTTAAAGTGTGTTTCAGGTACAACAGAAGGCTGGAGCTGTTGTTTAGGACAGTCATCCTGCATTTTTCCTCTAGTTTGTACAGTTGAAGCAGTGACTTATCTAGAATCTATCAGTTTACTTACACTTACCAAACTTCCAGCACATGTGCCAACCTCACCTCATCCCTACTAAATATTTATAAATAAATGGCAAATCAGCAATAGTCCTCTCTCCTCCTATCTTTCGATAAGATAGAAAATAAGTAGATGTTTAGAGGTTCCAGGATTTTTTTAAAACTTTTTAAAAAAGTAAAAAAGTTATATAAAAGAATAGGCAGCAACAAAATTATAAACCAATTCATGTGGAAAAGCCAACATCATCTTCTAAACCTGCAAGTGAAGCTCACAGCTGGTGAAAAAAAAAAAAAAAAAAAAGCAGCATTGTGTGTTAGCAAAGGCTGTGAGCAAGGACTGCAGGTTTTTTTCTTAATTCTCCCACGGATTTCAAGCTTGGCTGTAGGCAGATCACCAAATATCTCAGCTGATCATCTACAAAATAAGGATAGCAATATGTTCCTATCCCAGCAGGATGTTTTCAGAAGAGTGCTTAGGAGGCACTCACTGCAGTGATGTGGTCCATGAAAGTCTCTGCACAGAACAAAGACAACACCTGCTCCACTGGTTAATGGGAAAAAGATGACTGAGACTGTTACAAGGACTTTCTAGCATTAAAGGACAAGCTGCAATTGCCTCTGGCTTACACTTAAGAAATTCAGCATCAGTGAACCATTCTTTTATACAATTACAGTGGAAAAAATTTTAAGTATAGGACTAGATAAGAAAATAGTGAAAGTAAACTACATCAATGATTGGAATTCCACATCAAAGGCAACATTTAGGTTTTCCTTGTAGTGTGTAACATAGCTCATGACAAAATATCCTTTTGCTTCCTTTGGCAAAGAAGTGCATAAACGATGGAAGTAAATGCACACTGCAGTTTTTCCTCCAGGATTGCAATAATTTTAGTTAACTTAGACACTTTTGAAAAACATTTATTATCACTTGTAACTCCATTTTATACAGTGTTGAAGTTCTTCTCATATTCTCTGTGGGAGATAATGATAGGTGGTTCTTCCAGTGACTTGCGGGACATATTCCCATGTACTTAGTATTTGAAAAATGCCAGCTCAGCCCTGAGGGGATGTTGCGTTCCAGGGCTGCAGGATCATGTCCAGGGAAGCTACAGTTACCAGTGACCGACACAGGACTTCAACGAGGCGGGCTTCTGCTCAGGAAACCATTTATTCAGCACAGGAACAAACTCAGTTTAGATCCAGAGAGAGAAAGCCCAGAACAGAGGCAGGGTGGGGGTTTTGTGGGACAGAACCAGGGTGGAGTTTAAGGTCGGGGACTAACAGTGACAGAGCAAGAGCGAAACCCCAGGGGTTCAAACCCAATCACAACACCTGGGCTGCCACCCCACGAAGGGCCCGGGGTGGGGCAACTCTTCCTGGGCTCACAGGGCCCATTCCCGAGGGAGAGGAATGGAATGCACTCTTGCTGGGCTTTAAAGCCACGCCTCTCACTTTAACAATGCTTATCTGAAACTAAATCTTTGCTTCCTTGGGCAGGGGCCACCTCACAAGGGGATTTTTTTCTGACCATCTTTTTTCACATTATGCTGGGAAAACTGTAGCTCTACAAAGATAGAAGACGTTTTGAGTTCATAATGAAACACTGAGCTTCAAGATTAAGGAAGTCTGATGATCTAGTGTTTATTCCTGAATTAGCAACCGATTTCCCATGACCTTAACTTCATCATTTAGATGCTTCATGATCTATTTTATCTTTTAAATGAGAGATTGTATGTCTGAAGAGTGCAGAAAAGAAATCAAGAAAGGATTCAGATTCTACCCTGCCTTGGATCCAGGGAAACATCAGACCTATTTCAATTAAAATTAATTTTGTTAATTACTTCATACTTACCTTTGGTAAAGTAAGGTATTGTAATATTAAGGTTAATTACTACATCTTTGCTTTTCGTAAGGTTTTCTAGTTGTTCCTAGGATTTATGCAGCATCAGTCCCCTGGTAATAACTTTTTAATTCATTCACCAAACCAAGTTTAAAAGAAGAGCTGAAGTGTGAGAGGTATAAGGGTCATGCATTTTGTGACATCTGATAGCAGGCAGAGCAGTGCCCAAACTAAGTGTCCTTATCAAGGGAAAAATCAAGTTATCTGACCTCCTTTGCATGTCAGAGAGCCAAGACAAACTTTGAGATGGGCAACACATGCCCTCTTCTTGCCCAAAAAGCTAAGGGATTTAGAAATGAGATTAAAGGAAAGCCAGCAGAGTGAACTGCATGGAGAACAATGGAGCTAGTGCAAGGTCAAATATCAGCAACAAAGCACATACAACTCAAGCTCATCTTCCTGTGTATAATGGGAAGCTGAAGGAGCATAATTTTGTTTTTGCTATCCCTACTTGTACAACACTTGCACACTGTAAACATTTGTAAGCCATTAGCGAGACCCAGCAGAACACTGTAACAACAAAAGCTAGGTTTGTTAAAGCCACAGGAATTCTTTCCAGTGAAACCACAGAGAGGTAGGCGGGACAGGATCTCAGGGAGCAGCCGAGCCACCACCACACAGGGCCTCACAAACATCTAGACAAAGCTGTAGCAGGTGACTGTCAAATCCCTCCTAAAACAGCTCTTGAGCAAAGGGGAGTCTGCCCAGATACAGTGCTCAGAGCTCAACAGCATCCTCAAATCCAAACTGCAAATCCCACAACCAGCACAAGCAATTACACAGCATCAACAGCTCTCTCCTCTCAAACATTTACATACTTGCATATCGTTTTTAAAAGTATTTGCCCGTCTCTTGTTGATCTGAACAAATTATTTACCCTAAAGTTCTTCTAAACTCACACCTTTCATATGTATTAAGACCTCTGTTATTGTCCTGTAATGAACATCTTCCCACAACTATTTATTTTAAAATGCAGGGCCCAAAACAGTCATAGAGAGATACAAAGGGAAGTACTATTACAAATTACAGCACAGCAATTATCTTTTGATCTCTTTCAGATGCTGTTAGCTCATTCAATTTGCAGAACACTATCAGCCCCATAATATTTGTCTTCTAATACTACTTTTTCCCTGCCATGTACTGGTAAATTGCAACAGTGCATATTTATCTCTTAAATTTTACTTCACTAGTTTTGGCAATTTCCCCCAGTTTATCAAGGTCATTTTGAAACACTGTCATATAGAGAGTATTGCTTAGAGATGGACTACAAAGCCAATTTTACCCCTCTGCCCCTGAACCCCAAATTATTCCTACCTGGAACTCAGAAAACAAATGGTTCTGCATGTTTATAAAGACTTCAGATTAAGTCAAAAATAGCTGATTTCTGGAAAACTCTCAAGAGTTATATACGCTTTAAATTAGACAAAAATCTAGTGAAAAAAAAAAATCATTAACACCTACATGAACAATACAAGCAAACTCCTATTATTGTTTTGTTTTCAATAAAACCCCAAGACAGGGCACTGGAATCACTGGATCTGACAAAAGCGCAATGTTAAACTGCAAATGCTGTGGTAACGCCTATTATACAGGCAGGTGAAAAGATAAACCATCTAGCAAGGTAAGAGATAGTTCTGAAATGTGAAGGTAACTAATCTATACCCTGTATCGTTTTCCTATAGATCATCTTTTTTATTCTAATTTTATATCCTTTTTTCTTCTGCACTTTAATAAGTGTTGGAGGGATGCAAAGCAATACTCCCCAAAATGTGTCAAGTTCATAGCTGAGTGTGCCTGTGAGGTTCATCACTGTATTTCTGTATTTTTACTAAAAGAATCAATCAAGATTCAACTTCAGTTGAATCCTTCCTCTCCCTCCACTCCTAAATCTTAAAGCAACAAAAATTCATAGCAAATCAGGAAGGAAAAAAAAACAACAAACATGCATAATGTCAAGGTAGCCTTAATTAGGTGATTAAGGTCTTCCTTCAGAAGCTAGAAAAATCTGATCCTGTTTTAATAACACAAAGTGATCTTCTCTTTGCTTCAGCTTTCACATGCTCCACCTAAGCACCTGCAACAACCATTGTCAGAGACATCACCTTGTTCCAGAACTGATTTTGTTCTGTCCTTAATAAAACCCCTCCATCTTCTAAACCAGAACATGCTACCAAAGAATGGCCTCAGCTAAATTACGTGCAAAATCTGCCCCAGCTGAAATGCTATGGGAATGCTTTTCCACTGATGTCTTGGGGAAAAGAGAGATGAAGGAATACCTTTGTATTGTGGTTTGTAGAGATGGAGATGCAAATGAAAATCAACCTGCTCAAAAACATCGATGTTCAGTTCGAATGAGGTTTCACCTTAAAAACTGAGTATGCCAAGTACCTAAAGAGGATGCTATGTGCCTCTAGAACTGGAAAATTAACAAAGCAGCATCCTTTAGGTCTGCATTTTGAAACCAAACACTTATATCCCACTTGCATGTAAACTCCTCCATGGGCCCAGCTTTTAGGTGGCAAAAACAATGGGAACAGAGATGTCCAGCACTGCAGAAATCAGTAGGAAGGGAAAGGCAAAAACATACCACAAAAATCATTTCAACACCCCAATTATTTTCATGGATCAAGAAGAAAAGACTTTTTATAACAATGCAAACCTCAAATTTTACCTAATGACAAACATTCATTTCCATGATTTATACAATTTTTGCATAAGATTTGTGGTTATTTACATCTTCCAGTTCAAGTGACATTAGGTAGCACAATTTTGTATTGAATTCTAGTTACACTTTCAGTCAATTACACAAGTATGAAACAAGAACAAGACAGACTATTCCCTTCAGAATGCCTTCTCCACATTAGTCCAGATGTAAACATGGCATAATGGAGACAGTTGTGATGTTTATGGTAATCCCACACCAATTTGTGTTGCTTTCATAGATTGTAGTGTAATGTAATGGCAAAAAAAAAAAAAAATCAACCACACAACCCCGAAGAACATTAAGAAGCCAAAAAAAAATTAATCAAACTTATAGTCTGCTAAGAACCAGACACTTCCTTTTTGGCAAGGCAAAGCTACTTCAAGTATTCATTAAAATGGAAAACAAAAAAAAAATTTTTTTTTCAGTAAAAAGGTAAAACAAGAGTGTTTAACCACTGTGTAATAAGTCCCAGTATATTGGTGGCAGTGACTATACATCACGCTAGAAGGAACAGAAACCATCCTGATATGGAGCCATATGAACAGAACAAACTCAAAACTAGAAAAACCATGTGCTGATGCCTTTATCAGCTTGCCATGATGAGTGTTTTAAGTGCATGACTGAAAATAGGCATGATGATGCCACTGAAACCAGTGCAAGTGAGTTACTGGGTGGCTTAAGAGACAAGAGACTGCACAGACAAGGGCATGGCATAAGAGGCAGGATTACAGCAGTAAAGAAAGACTGCAGGAGTAGCTCAGAACTCAGCTCATGTTTGTTCTACACATATGAAAGCCACAACACATTTTTCTCCACAGCACAAAAAAAATACAAGCAAAAAGGTAAAGAAACAGTTAAGAAAAATTAAGTAACTTCTGAACAGTGAGACAAGGCAAAAATATGGTTTTGACCTCAAATGCACCATCATCCTGGATATTTTGCTGTCCTTCATGTAGGACAGAGAGAAATGGCAAATGATGAAAAAAGACAAGGAAAGGTACAGATGATGACTGCTTGGCACTTTTGAAAAACATTTTTTAACTAAAAAAAGAATCAAGGGACTTATAAATATTAGGCAATTATCTCCCCCAAGCTTTTGTCAATACAGAGATGACCACAGTAATGTCTATTTTGGTGACAAGTGTCTCAATGAGAAGGCAGTGCCCCAAAGGGCAGTTTCATTTTTACATATGAAAACAGTAGTTGTGGTAGATTCTATTTGTCATAGCAGTTTACCAGTTATGTGACAAAGATTTAAGCAAAAACACCTTTCTAGAGGAACTCTAAAAGATAACAAAAAGCATGTGGACACAGCTTACTGTGAATCCTCCACTTTGGACTTGTTGAGAAACTTATTTACCTAAAAAGTTTTACCCAGGTAAAAGTTAGTGGAGCACAACATGTGGTCATTAAGCCATAAAAGAATGTGATCCTGCAATACTAGTCTAGCACCTTCAATTCCCACAGGCTCAAATTAAAATTTTAAGTGTTAAGAACTTTGATTGTCCCATTCTACATTTTTTTTTCCCCTTCCCCCTTTAAGTAAGTGACTCCAGTGATCATGGGACAACATTCCAGCCAAAGTTCACTCCCCTTAGCTTTTTCATGGAATACAACACCAGGAAGAGGACTTGGAAGAAAGTAAAAGGAAGAGGTTCAGTAAAGAGCAACATCAGAATATTGACTCTACTGAAAGAGAAATCAGTTTTACCACATTGAAAACCACGAGTGCAATTGCTCCAGTCCAAGTTCTAACTGCTCTCAGTGACCAGAATGGCATAACCAGCATGAACCCTCCCCCATGGAAAGCAAAGAAAAACAGGATGTGCAAAGCAGGCAGTCCCTGTTACTAAGCTGGAATTGATTGTGTTCCGACGTGATTAACTCCCAAAAATTTGGTAAGATATGCTGGTGTCACATTACAATAAAAATAGTGTTTCAGCTCTCACTACGAGAATATTAAGGATTTTGCTCTGGTCCTGCCTAATCCATTCATGAATTGCACAGCATAGCCCTTGCCACACTCGCCTGCCAGAAAAGGCAGCTCCATTTTCTTGTGCTGAAAAAAGTAGCAGGCTTAGTGGTTATAAAGTTCATGTTTTAAAGTGCACTGTCATTTTAAACAGACTTTCCCTATTAAAAAAAAAAGTAAATAAAACCATCTGATATCAACAACCTATAAAAATAACAGCTGCAATACTCCTTCTAAAATTGCAACTTAAAACCAAGTTAGCAAGATTCAAATCTTTTTCAAAAAAAGATATGAACCCAAAATAAAAAACCTTTCTGCAGAGAATTCCCAAGCAAAACCTCACATCATGTCCTATAAGCTCCTCTCCTAACAGCATCTCACAGAAAATCCATTCAGTTTCTTGCAGCTAACAACCTCAAGAAAACAGAGGTCTAAATAAATCAGTCCTTCCCACCAGTCACCTACACAATTGCAGGTGTGGGTGTTGGTGCAGTTTTTCCATCAACTCCTCCTCTGTAGGTTCTTCCAAAACATCTCTACAAAGAAAAAGCATGAGTTGTTAGGGGCAGGAAAGGGAGCTTACAAGCATTTGTTTTTGCAATGTGCAAGCAGAGATGTAACTGTGCTTGTTTCAGGAATAAAACAAGGAATTAAAATTACAATAAGCTGGTGCTCCCTAAAGATGTATCTAGCTGCAAGTGATCCATCCTCTACAGATGTGTCATGGAAACCAGCAGCTGTTTTCCCATAAGAAGCAGGGAAGCAACTTCCTGCACACAGTACAATACAACTGAAGGTCAGTAGATTTGGTTTCCTGAAAAAACTCCCCAGTGAGAACATGCTCCCAATGCTACTATTGAGTATCCAACATGCACCACAAGTTCCACTAATAAATGATCATCAAGCATTAACTCACCACCCACAGTTTCATAATAAGCCAAGAACATGCATCACTTCCCTCATCTTCCCTTTTCTTTTTTCCCTTGTTTTTTCCTCCCTCAGCTGTTGTTCCCCTCACCCCCAGCACCTCTTCTCCCATCCTACTATGAGCACAAAGAATATAAAGGTTAGGCTAACAAGTCAGCTTAAAGCAGGCTAAACTAACTTGCTGGATTTCTCCAGACTAACAGATTAAACAGTTTGCTTCAAAGTGAGGAAACAGAAGACATCTTGCAGCCATCACACTTTCTTAAAAGCAGACAAAGAAAAATAAAACTACATTGATTATCAAGTCCAGCCCAACTCACCTGAACATGAGTTCAACTGTCCTCTGGTATTCAATATCTAAAAGAGACTCTCGCTGGCAGTGACGGTCCCACTTGTGAATAAAGTTCTGAAATGCAAAAGGAACAGCAAAAGATACAAAGGCTTCTTCTGATGGCACCAGAAAAGATGTTGTATCTGGTCACAATGTTTGCAGAGAAGGTTTGGGAGGCAGGTGAGGCTTGTTTTTACATGGTGAACACTGATTTATTTAGGCATCAGCTTATTTACTTGCTGCAGGTCACTATTTAGGCCTTTGTTCAGCAATGAAACAGCTTTCTCATCACAAACTGAAAGAACAGCAGAGCAGAAGACAGCCCTACTGCCTTCAGCTCCTAGCAAGGACTGCCTCCCCAAGACAACTGTGTGAACTACCCACAAGACTTCACCTGATTTTGATTTCTTCCTCTTTAAAAACCCAACAATATATAAACTTACTACTAGTCCAGGCTTTGTCATGCTCCCTTACCTGTTTTGAATAACTCTGACAAATGAATACCTAGGGAGTGGACACACAGCTCAGGACAAAAAATAAAGGAGAGAAAAAGAGCAACATCCTTCTCTCCTGCTACAGAATGCTGCACCTTGGCTCTGACAGCAACCTTTGGCCACAGCCCTGCAGAAACAAGCAGGTAGAAGATGTTCTGGACTGAAAGTCTGCCATTCTTCCTACTGTAGTAAACTGTAGTAAATTTTAATTCTCAGTACAGTCAGCAATGTCAAGAACTTCTCCAAATGAAACTTTCATAGGGTTTGAGATGGGGTGAAGTGCCCTCTACAGGCTCTCAGTTCCCTCCACTACCTATAAGAGAAGTCTACAATGGTGAACCTGGAGGAGACGGTTATGATTAGCATTCCCCTCTCCATCAGAAATTTGGATTTGCAGGAAAGTATACAATGAGTAACTAGCAGAACCAAATGTTCTTCATGGCATTGCTCAGGCAACTGCTCTCCCACAGTTTCTCTGAAAGACTCTAGAATATGATCTCTTGAAAATAAGTAATCAGTTCCACTCCTCTAGTGTGGCACTGAACAATGGTGCTAATTTAAACTGGGGTGGGAAGAAACACAGCAGAATCAAATGAAATAAAATTTTTAATTTAAATTGCTCACTTAATTTGCTGACAAATTAAAATGCAAAAAAGCCTGCAGCTTGAAAAACTAATGTAGAATTTAAATGGTAATGTACAAGAGACAAGCAATTTTATAATACTTTAAATATTTCTCATCTTTATAATAAAGAGAGTGATACAATGAAATTGTACATACCCAATGACATACAAACAGTTTTGTGACAAAACTGCAAATAAAACATTTATTTTTCTCTAGGAAAAATCTCTAGGAAAAATAAAACAATTCCTCAGCTCCTCTGGCATAGGGCAGCAAGGACTAAGGTAATGAAAGCACACACAAATCAAACATGAAGTTGTCTGGGTTCTTTTAATTTCCTGCACAAATTAGAACCCGTTTTCAGGATCTCACACCAAATAAACACGCTTCCTTACCTCCAGGAGTAAAGCTACGAAGAGATTAACCCAGATGACAGAGGAAATCAACCACCAGGCTACAAAATAGATCTTTGCCCACCTGCAGATCAGATGAACAGATAATACAATCAGATGAACAGACAATGGAGGCAGTAAATAACCTCAGCCTGAAAGTGAGCAGAGCACCATGAAATCATATTTTTTTTCCTTGAAATATAATAGTACTACTTTCTTAATAAGAAAGATGGCCTGGATCAAAAAAATAAAAATAAAAAATGTTTGCTTTTCATTAATTTAGCCAAACAGACTCACTCTCCTGGGTTAACCAGCCAAAGGTCACTGGAACAGCTCAATCCAGGCGCTATCCAGTTAATTCAAACATTCCCCATTAAGTCAGTAAAAACAAATGAAAGGTATGTCCAAAGTTTTAAGTCTACAAAAAATTGTTCACCCACAGAGAAAACACAGAAGCATAAGGTTTATTTCCTATATATCTGAACTGGTCCAAAATAAAGGTAAGCAGCATCCCTCTGAGCAGATGTTAGGAACTGTGCTATGTGTATACTTCTTGTTCAGGTATATTATAAGCTGAATTTATATGGGACTTCTTCTGTATTATTACAGCTACTTACGGACTTGAATATCTTGAAAATGCATCCAAAAAAACTTGCCAGTTGTTCACCACCATCACATTCCAGAGGGTCACCACTGCTGCCTAAATAATGGGAGTAGACCAGCGTTTAATTGGCTGAACCACAGATTTAAGCCTCAGAAAAAGAGGAGGAAAGACAAGCAAAGGGGAAGAAGGAGGGATTTCATCCATGATCAGACTCACAGCAAAGTCATCAAAGTTGTTGGGCCAATATTCCAGCTGTTCATAGGTCCCACACTGCAGAGTGCCATTGTCATGTGTTGTGTTGGCAGCACTGCAAGAGATTACAGGCTGATGTGAACACAGCTCCCCATGAACTCTGCTTTAGAATTCTTCTGAGCCCCTTGTAAAAAGTTAGAATATCTCATATGGACAGAGAACAAGGAAAACAATTTAAAAAAAGTATTTCAGGTAAAGCAGGGTAAAATTCCAAGCTACAGATAAGCATTCCTACAATTTCAATGCAGCAAGAAGAAACAGAAGTAACAGATAATTAAGCCTTGTGATTTAACATTAAAAGTAGGGTGGCTCCAAGAATGAGAGGGGAAAAAAAAACCATCAAAACCAACCACAAACAGCTCAGAGGTAAAAAGATGCAGATACTTTTGAAAAACAGATTCTTTCTGAGCAGTTTTGTTTAGAACCTTACCTAGTATTTCCCAAGGGAACAACAGCACCTTTAAAGAGCATTATGCCAGTTATAGCAAATGCATAGAAAACCACCTGGAAGGAACACAACCTACTATTAGCTTTGAATATTTCTGTCACAAAATAAAAAAGCAAAATGCAATTAACACAGAATTTATATTACCACAATTGAGGTAATAGCATCGAGAACTGTGCCTGAAGCTTTTAAAGTGAAAGTACTTCTCAACTGGTTGCTCTTACTTTTTAATATTGTACCTAATTTTCAGTTGTTAAAATGCATTAAATCATTTTACCATTCATTTTACTTCTCTGTGTCTCAGAATGCTGATATTTAACTATAAACATTGCAGAATAGCAACTTAAAACCAAAGCTCAGTACAAGTATTTACAAAGAACAGCCTAAATATCTGAGGAGTCTTCTGCTAGAGTCAGTGAAAATAAGCTTTTAGTAAGCTGACCTGAAAGACAAAACAATGTCAGTATTTTATATTCCATCAGCAACTTCCTTAAAAAAACAGTAATTAGTGTAAAAATAAGGTTTTCAATAACACTAAGGATTTGGGAACTTCTGTCTTTTAATTGTTAGAAATGCAAAGTTGCCTAGGTGATACTGCAATTTTTATCCTAAAAAGATTGTTCTAGAAATAACCTACAGCTTTGCTCCTCTGAGAAGGAGCCATTTATCCCAAGAAAGCTTGAAGCAAGCTGAGTCTTCCAACAAAAAGTTTTTGTTTTGGGGTTTTTTTTTGTTTGTTTTTGTTTTGGGATGGGGATTTTGGTTTTGTTTATTATTATTACTTTTTAATTATTTTCCTACAAAACACACCCAAGAATGGGAAGTCTGGAAGGAATAGAAGAGAACTGCTCTGGCCAACAAACTTTGAACACCACTGGAGTAAACTGAAGCTGACATTTCACAGCCTGCCACAAGATGGGGTACCTGGCCTGGTAATAAATGGCATTTTAATAATAAATTAATTTTAATAATAAATATAATTAATTTAATTCTTTGAAAAAATAAATATTTAAAACACTCATTGCCTGAGAAATTAGCTAATCATTTACATTATTTAATCAGCATGTGTGTTCCAGGCTAACATTAGGAAAGATATTTTGCATCAGCTGGCAATGGAGTCAGATTTCATTACAGCAGAAGCTCAGTGAGAGCCTCCATGTAGCCGCAAGTAAAAGCAAATTAAATTAATGGAAGGGGCAAACACTGTGGCAGACTTCTCTCAGAAGTGTGAGCTGTACTCAGTAATCATTACAATGAGGTTTTTACCACCTTAGATTTGCCGCAACCAATATCTTTATTGCAAAGTGCAACACAAGCCAATTTAAGCTCTACAGATAAAAGTAGAGCTTTTTAATTACAAAAACAGATATTCTGGTTAAATTGCATACTAGGCATATAGACCAGAACAACACATCTTTAACCATTCAAATTAAGGTACCCTATAAAAACCCATGACCAATAGCAAAACCAAACCTACCCAGGTATTTCTTTGCCCTACCAGGAAGACATGGTTGCAAAGCCAGAAACTCAAGAGTTGGGAGAATTTATGTAATGGACATCACACATTGTGATCCACTCTTTAATCACATTTGTTGAGTCTATGTTCTACACAGACACACCTGAAACAGGATGGCAGAGGCTCTTAAAAAAAATCATGCCCAATCATGCCATCTCAAGATCTTCTCAGCCAAAAACAATTTTAAAGTTGTTTTGCTATTTATTTAATAATTTAATTGCTATTTGCTATTGCTAATAGCAATTTATTGGTATTAATTTAACATAAGCAAACCAGGCTAAGGAAAACTGGTCAACTTGAAGCATTGATGAATTTTTATTTGAACCCACACCACCCAAGCTAAGGCAAGCACTCAAAGAAAGGTTCAATCAATCTTTTTAAAGATACTCCTGCTAAAGGAGCACTGCCACTGTGTGCTGGCCATCACAAACGAGCAGTTTATTGTGGCTTTCCAAGACATGCCTTCGGGAAGAACTGGCTGGTTAAGGTGAAATGTTACTGCTTGTGGTGATCGTACAAGAACCTTGCTAACTTTGTTGATGATATACCCTTATCATACTGTAACAAAGGAAATAACCATCTTGCATCATGACTTACCACAAGGATTCCTGCAAAGGCTCTTAAGTTTTTCACCAGATCCAGCAGTGTAGTAACAACCAAAGCCATGAACTAAAACAGAGCAGATTTTTGTACATATGACATTCATCACACTTCCAACCCATATCAGATTTTCACTAAAAGGACAAGGAACCACATAAAATGACCTTGCCTGCTCCCTCACCAGAGAAAACCAGTTCTAGAGACAATGATTTTGTGAGGGGCTGTGCAACAGTCAAGACAGAGCTGAGCTATTCCACTCACGTGCAAGAGAATTGCAACCTACACAGTATTCTGAAAGGATCTAACATAATTTATAGCTTGACCAACAAAGAAATCTGAGTTGTGGTGGGAAAAGCAATCACCTTCATGTTCGGGATAATCCGCAGGAACCTGAACACAATTAACATGTTCACCAGCCTCACCATATCCCACAGGGATAACAAGCCCATGAATTCAGGTCTCCTAGGAAAGGCAGAAGAAAGTAACAAATTGGTGGAACAGCCCATGACAGAAAGACACAATTAAATCTACTGGGTTACAGGTAATTGTAAATACATTGCTTTACTCAGCAGGAATCTCAGCTATAGTAAATTAATAACTGATGAAAGAAGGAATCACTTTAGCCTGGGCTCTTAAATATGTACAGAGAGCTCTTTGAAGCGCATGCTTATTGCAGTGTGTTTCTTGTTAATGGTATGTTATCGTCCAAGTTGATGGTTTGGTCCAAATGAGACCTTCCCACCCCATGTTGTCAATCTACCTTGACCCTCCTGTCAATCCTGTCTTATGCCTACTACATGCTTGGAATTCCTTTGGAAATCCCCTAAACTTGGACGCTTGATTAGTCCATGTGACCCAATTTTCCCTCCCTACCTCCCTCATTGTATGATGATTTTATGAAGCCTGCCTTTTACCCTCCCCAGGATATCTCTGATTAGCTGACCCTTTGAACCGCCTCCCTATTTCAGCTGTTGCACGCTCGCATTTTCTGTCTTTTGCCCCCAAGATTCCCCAGAGCAATAAATCCTCTATTATCCCATGCAAAAGACCTCCCTCTCGTCCTTGCCTCCTAAGACCACAGACTAACAGCCAAAAAGCTGTAGAGCAAGTGCTCTAGTCACACCTTGGTCATCCTGCTCCTGGGGTGTGATCCACTCCTGGCACAAGCTGAAGTGGTAGAGCCAGATAAGCTCCGGCCCAATGCAATACATGCTCGTGCCTTCTGCTGGGGAGAAGGCACTGAAGAGAATTTCAATTTCACTTTCAGAAAAGAAAGTGAATCAAAAGGACTGCTAGAGAGATACTTCAGAAACTTGCACAAAGATGGGCATTAATCCTCCAGGGTATGCCTGGCTGAAGAAGGGCTTTGGAAACAGAATTAGGTTGAAGGACTGTCTTGTCAGCTTCCTTCCTTATGTGTTAACATTCCATGGGAGATAGGCATACACTTTGAAACCCTGAATTTTAGCTTTTATATGTGCATGCTGAATGCTTCTCAGCTGGAAAGGAAGGAAGGTGGTAGGGATCTAAAGCTGATAATGACAAAGGTCCTTGGTAACACTGATGCTAAATCAGGATTTGTATCTCCAACATATTAATCTACAATAATGAAAGAAATTACTTAAGATAGCACTGCATAGAAGGCATATTCTAGATAACAGCAACACCACTGTCCTGCCCTGCAGGTGGTGGTTGCTTGGTCTGTGGATGTGACAGTAGCACACCTTAGTACTCAGAGTGACTCATCTCAGTTGTAATCTGTTTGCAGTGACTGACAAAAGGACCTAACATGAATTACTGGTGCTCCAAGATGATAGATCAAACAATTGCCTATATTTAAGAATCAGAGGTCAGAATCAAACATAATGACATCAATAATAAACATCATTAGTTTGTAGCAATTACTCTTCTGGCAGCCATCACTTCTGGGTGACAGGAATACAAGCAGTATTCAAATATAAACCGTTCTAAAACCATAAGGTTTGACTTGTCCAACTCTCTTCAGAGCTTCTGGCGTAAATTAAGAGAACTCCTTGATGGCAACATAACAAATATCCTGAAAAATCAGGGAGTGCCAGTGTCTTAAGTGTGAGCTTGCATGAAGACACAAAGCAACAGAATGTGTTACGAATCACCCCTGAAGATTCAGGAAATCTTCTAGAATTCCTTTGCTTTCCTCTCTTGTGGAGACAGTTTTCAAATTTTAAAATGAAGCAATGATTTTTACATTTTTTACAACAACAAAAACCAACAAGATAGTTATCCAAGTGCTTTTTGAACTCAAGAAAACCAAAATACAACTCTTTGCTATTACAATATAGATAAATAGTGTAAGTCCATGGGAATTTTCTTTAAAACATTTTATAGCATGAAAAATATCACTCAGTCTTCAATCTACATGCAGGGTTGAAGAGGTTGCATAGCTGTTTGGGAGTTCATATAATTGGATTTATGGACAATCTGATACGGAAACATATTAGGTTGTGTATGCTGTACAAAATTCCTATTCCTGCACCCATGATAAGCACAGACCCGTCAAGATATTATTTTAAATCTGATTACAATTAAAACAAATGCATCCTTCTCAGAAGAGCTATACAGACCTCTAAACACCATGAAAAATAAAAAATTATTTCACTTATCTATATTGCATGGCCTTTAATGACTACAAGGGTGCAAAATTCTATCAGATTTGGCAAATTAAAGACTGGGCTGACAATCACAGCTTCATCACATGTGTATGTATGACAGTGTGTGTGTTCCCCTGACCCACCCCAGCCACAGAGCAAAGGGCAGCAGGTCACAAAGATTACTCACCAGCCCGGGTGAGGAAATCCATATACAGCAAAAGTTGCAATCTCCAGAATCTTCAGTTAGGAAAGAAAAACAAAAACAAAGAAACAAAGACAAAACTTTAATTTGTAATTCTGAGTTCCAGAAATTATGTAACCTTCTTGACAGGAAACATTTTCAAGAGCCTTAAGCCACTAATTCAACTCACTTTAAAACTCTGAACTGTCATATTTGCCTAGTTATTCCCCAAACCAACCAAATGTACATAGAGCATCCAATAGTGACTCATGGAAGGATACACAGTGAATACAATTAACCATAACTTTGACCTCATCTGCCACAGGGGCATCAGGCTTTGACCAAATACTTACTACAATAGTCTGACAATATTTTTTAATTTAAAGAGAAAAGTGGTTTAAACCCATGAAACAGAATGCCTCATGCAATTATTCCAAGAGCTGAATTTTTCCAAATAAAATTGAAAAGGCTTCTTACCAGGCAAAGCACCTTTTCCATGGATTTAAATAAGCCTGTCTTCAGAACACAGACCCTAAGGGAACCATGTACTACCATGTAAGCTTTCCAGCCACAGAAACCCACAGCACTGGCTCATGCTGTTCAGCTCAGCAGATTGATGTTGAAAAAAAAGCAATCCCACCAGGTCTTATAGCTGCCCAACCTCCCTAGCCAACAAATCCAAGAATGTGTAAACTAACAAAGCACTTACCAGCAAAATTACAGTCAGAAGTCCATCAAATCTATTGCTTGGATAAGACAAGTATCTTTTCAAGCCCATTGCTAAGATTTTCAGCAACATTTCCAGCAGATAGTATAGGATGAAGAAGCAGTTGATAGCCTTCACCCCCCAAAAGAAAAAAAACCGTTAGAATTACTGACATCTCAGGGAGCAGCAATAACTGCATGGAATACCATTGCATCTTACCCCCAGGAAGAAGTCATCTCTTTCCGATGGCTGCTTATCTGCATCCATCACCAAAACCACCTTAAACAAAAAATATTTTATGAATCTACTGCTTTACTGCTACGTTAAACAGATTTTTAAGCACAAGAACAGTCTTTCATGGTTTGCACAGGCCTTTTCAAGCAGCTCAAAATACATTTTTAACTGCAAGTATTCCCTCTTAACACTTTGCATAACTAAAGCACACCAAAAGCCCAACTCCCAGAAAAAGTAGTTACTTTAAAAAAATTAAAGAAAAAAAGTAGAAATTAAATTTGTAACAGAGAAAAAAAGATTACCAAAACAGAAAAAAATCACTGCCCCACAACAAAAAAAAACTTTACTTACACAAATAGAAATAATGTTTGCCAGGGCTACTACATTCCCCAGGTAGCCAAAGTAGGCATGGCCAAAGGCAAACTGCATTTTCTGCATAAAATGGGATTGATACTCTGGACTGGGAGGGTGCTGAAAAGAACACAAAAGATTTGCTGAGTCATAAAGCATAAGCATCTTAAAAATACTAAATTAATTTTATAAACACACCCCATCTCAGATTAAAAAAACTCCAGACAGTTTCAAAGCAAAACTTCAGGGCCACAGGCTAATTTTGACATTACCTCTGGAAAATGTTTTCCAGCTGTGGCTATTAGCAGCAAGAAAGCATTCCTGATTATGACACAACACAAGGTAATGGCAAAGAAGGGAGATAATCCAACCTCTCTCCAATGCCCCAAGCAGATAAACAAAACATCAAGCTACTATTTGTATACATCTCTTCCCTATTTCCCAATATTTAATTCATACATCTTAGTTACATGCAAACATAGAAAAGAACACTTCCTAACCCTCAAATAGTTTACTGTTCTGTTTTTCCTTTCTCTCTAAGCAGAGACACTGTTTTCTGCCCATCTTCACCTGAACACTAAGAGAATCCACATTTTTTACTTCATTCAGGGACTGGAGAAAAACTACTTTGAGCTATTTTGCCTCTCACTTTAAAATGCTGGCAGAATAAACAAAGATGCATTTTGCACATTTAACACCACCTAGCAATCCCAAACTAATGCTGTAAAAGCCCCCAGACCAATTTTGTTTGTGACTATAAAAGCAGCTCATAAAAAGCTTAAAGATCAATGCCATGTGATCACACCTTGTGTTCACATGTTGCAAAGTTTGTTTATACACTTTATACTACTCTCACTTCTTTTTGCACACCAGACAACTTCTGATGCTTTAGAAATGATGACCACATACGTACTTGCTTAATGGCATCTTTGTCTAGTTCTTCAAAGAGCTTCTGGAACTGGGCAGCTGACAGCTGGTCACAGGAGCACATTTTGAGTGACTACACATGAAAGAGAAACATTCAGATCAACATCTGCAACAGGAACATCTGCCAAGTTTGCCAAAACCCCTCAGACTACCTTGGAAATCTACGAATAAAGATGTAATTCAAGCTGTTTGAGTAAGGTTCAATATTGCTCTGCTTTAACACAACACTGCCAGGTGACCGGAGGACACGTCTGGCCTTTTCTATTTTCCCTCTATGAGATCATATGCTCCTTTGACTAACTTAAATTTTTAGTCCCATGCAGTAGTGCCCCTATTCTGTTATGATCCAAGGAATGAAGCAACAGAGGGCAGATCTCTGGATTTGCTAGTCAGGATTGATAATCATTAACATAAAGGCTAAGAAAATCTAGTTCTTACTCTCATGATGGCTTGCTTGCAGCGAGAATCCATCTCAACTTTCTGTAGCACCTGTAGTAAGGCCCCAACACTGACACAGGACCTATTTAAAAGAAAACAGAATGGGCCCTGCTCCAGATAAGTTTATAGATGGCAAAATGAGCTGTTCCAAATGTGTTCCTGCCTCTTTCTTGTTTTGAAAAGCAAATAAAACTAGAAGTAGGAAAAAGGGAAACAGATTCTGTAAGAGTCACAAACAGTGTGTTATGAACATGCAGTTACAGGAAAAATAAATAAATGAGATGAGCAACAAATTGCCATTTTCAAGAATGGATCCTCTGTAAATATATTAAAACAGAACAAGATGACCAAATGCACTCTTTTTTTTTTTTTTTCTTTTCCTATATAATCTACTGTTTCAAGATCCTTCACTTACTGTTGTGCAGGAGTCTCTTTCAGGGAAGACAGCACCTCAAACGCAGCCCGGATTCCCAGCCGCCTCCTGAAGAGGGAGGACTGAACTGATTTCTGAGCAGTAAAAACATCACAGAGGAAACAATTTACTCACACTTCAGGCACCAGTGTCCTACGGCCAGATACTATACCAATCCTCGGGCACACATCCCAGATTTGTGATTAGAGATCAGAACAGGAGACTGCCCTAGGCCTCACTCCCTCCAAGAACTCCATGTACAAGGAGGAAGGAAGTAAGTAAGCAAACAAGCCCCTGGAAATCAAGTAATCATCCAGGTTGTAGTTTATTTTCAACTCTGCAGTACACAGGCATATGTCTCTTTTCCAGAGACACTGGCAACAGCAAAGCTCAAGCATTCACAGAAGTTCACACTAGTGTGCCAAGAGTTAGAGAGCTTGTCCTACTCCAGCTTCTTGCCTAAAAGCACAAATCCAGAGCTACGGTTTTTCATGTTTTTTTTTTTTTATTACAGTAATCACTTTCAAACTCATTTGCTTTACTGGTAGTCAGATTATGTCATGCTGTCATGTAAGAAAGAAGAAAATTGAGAAAGAAGGGATGAAACAGGAGGAAGAAATGATTACCAAAAATCCTCTTTGCACCTATTCTGTTCACACACTCCTCTGCCACAAGAGGGTAGGGGCCATTCCTCCTGAGTAATATTGCCTTGGTTATATTATCCAACAAACTTCACCTTCTCTATGGAATTCTACTAGAAAAGCTACTGGGCCAGTCTGGGTACGGCCTGGTCTAGTGGGGAGGTATCCCACATCGCAGGGGGGTTGGGACTGAATAATCTCTAAGGTCCCTTCCAACCCATTAATATTCTGTGATCTGCAACAACAGCTATTTAAACAGCACAGCAGATTTCCTCCACACAGACCAAGTTTAATTTACTCAGCCACTTGTCCTTGTTCAGTCATACAACGGTTTATTTTTCTTTTCCCCTATAACAGTCAAAATTGTAGATCCACAGCATATTTGGAAATATGCAAGCAGGTCATTTTCTCATGGGAGGGGAATCAAGCTGTAACAGCAAATAAAGAGAAAGGTATCACATCAAAGAACATTTAATACCTTAAAACTGTATCTGCAACCAGAGTGGGAGGGATCCTTTAATACACAGATGAAACTCGATTGTCGCACTATATTAGGAACAGCGAAGTACAACACAGACTCTCTTAGCTGGGTTGCACAAGAGAACCAGTTTTATTATTCCTGATCTCCATTTATAGACAGTTCTGAGAAGGTCCGAGAGGTAAAACTCTCATTGGTCATTAAACCAACACATCACCATCATTGGTCAATTGGAACTACACCCTTTGACTGTTTCTTGCAAGTAAACAACAAGGATCCAAACAACACCGGCAGAGGTTGTTTTCCCTCTCCAAGGACTGTTTTGATTCCTATGATTTCTCAGGCCACACTTTCTCAGGCCAGTCTGAGAAAATTGTGTGACTTGGTTTCTTGGTTTCACACAGGCTCAAGCTAATGCCTGAAGCCTAAAAATCCTACTTGACCATTGTCAGTTCCTGCAACTTAATTCTTCAAAGATTCAAGGTTATGGCAGAACACAGAAATTAGGAATGCTTTACTCACCAGAAGGTACCCTCGAAACTGGTTGTATATTATTGCTGTAAGCAAATTCATCAAAAACAAGTTGCCTATTGGAGAAAAAGAGGCAGTAAAATTTATGGAAAAATATCTGTTTCTCAAAAAAGTTTCAATGTATGTAGTAAATCAGACATAAAACTTTAAGAGGGTTAGTTTTCTTGTGTCTGATTTCCAAAACATTTTTAATGTTTGAATATACTGTTAGGTATCCATTCCCCTGTGACATGTTACCAAAAAACTCCAAATCTTAAGTACCCTCCCTGAAAATGATCTCACAGACACTACTGGAAGAATCACAAAAATGGAGAAATTCATGATCAAACTTCCCTAGAAAAATAAAACACTGTAGGTGGTATGCACAAGTATCAAAGTTGAAATGCATTGAAGTTTACATTGCTGAAGGCAAGAGGTAACTTACCCAATACAGTGAAGAGGATGAAGAAGATTGAATATGCTCGATTCTTAGAATATGCAGGTATCATTACTGTATCGAATTTAACAAAAATAGGAAATAATTTTTTAATGCTTGAGATGCACAGTAGAGACTTCTATGAACTTTTGGCAATTCATAAAAACTCTCATACAGCTGGACTTGAGAGTGGTATATATAATTACACCACAGAAAGGCAAGAATCAAGTTACTAAAGGCATAAAAAACCTTTACACAACCTTCCGCTGGCTGTACTAAAAACCATCAGCTGAGGGAATGGTTACAGTAGGCTGAACAGAGCAGTCTTACTTTGTTGTTCTTCAAAAGGAGAGACAAGGGTTATTTCTGAAAGACTGCTCACCATCAGGGTTATTTGCAGTAGTCAGCAGGACCAGCAGTGATGTCAGGGAATCTGGCAAATTCCGGAAATACACCGCCCATTCCTTATCCTGCTGGTTATCCTAGGCAAAGATGTGTTATTGTTAAGAGAAATACCAAGTAATCACTGTCTTACCAAAGAAGGGGGGAAAAAAATTTACATTTAAAAAAAAAATATTAACATCAGTCAACAATCAATTTCTTACACACGTAATCAAACCTACCCTGTGGAAAAAGCAAAAGCCAAACATAAAAATTAAGATAATGTATGAATACAGAGCAATTGCATCACTTATTAATAGCAATTAAAAAACACAAGTAAGAACAGGAAGCTCCACGTGGAAGTTACGTCTAGTTAGCACCTCAGACCCATGAAGAACAATCATGTCACAAACTGACAGTACAGGACTCAGAACCTTCATCAGAAATACACTGGGAAGCTGATCTTGGATCCTCCACATTTTTTTTTTCCTGAGGTCAAGAAGAGACAGATAAAAAAAGAAGCAGAGTGCAAACAACATAAACAGGAGTCAGGCAGCACAGGACAAACAGCTCTTGAATCTGCTGCAAAGACTGGAATCATAGAGGACATACACAAGACAATACAAAAACACAGCCATGAATTTCATTAATGAACCTACTTTTAGAACTTGCCTGCAGTATTTTGCCAAGTTAGATAAAATTAGTTTGATGGATGTCAGAGCAGCACACCAAAGTCCACTCTCTAATTTGCTATTTTTTACCTCAATGTACACAAAAGTGACTGGTTTAGGTATATAAATCACACAAAATATACATCTGTTGGGGAAGCTCATAGCTGAAATTAGATGTGACAAACAAAGATAATACAAAGGTCCAGAAGGCAACTAAAGTGGGAAAACAGACCTCTGATTCTAATTCCAAGGATTATGTAACATCAGAGAATTCAGGGACTTTGCTGATCGTAAGGGAGACTAGAAGCTGGCTCAAGTGCAAACTACATCAATGCGCAAAACTGAGATTAAGGATAGGACCAAAACAGCTGGGAGAAACATGCAAGAAATTTCTGTGTTCACAGTAACATATTTATGGAAGGCCTTAAAAGTAAGAATGAAAAAACCCACAAAAATCTGAATGTGATAAATTAAGATACAGGAAGTCTAGCAGAGAAGGAACATACCAAGATTACTGGAACACAAAAATTATTTTGACCACTAAATTTCAATCTTGCTTTTCAGAAGCAGGAAGAGAAAAATGGGAGGAAAACCCAAAGGGATCAGAAACCGAAACTACTACAGGCAAAAACCTACCAGGGCATGAAAGGTGAGAAAACACAGAAGAAACCCAAATTAGCAAAAAACTAGAGAGGGAAGAGAGAAAAAGAAATGAGTGATAATATGAATGAAAATGCGACAAGAGTTTTGGAGACAGAACAGCACAGAGGGTTTCAACGAAACCAGAGAAAGCAACTCAAGGGATCAAACTGGGTAAATGTATAAGGAAGTCTCCTGTATACATGAATACTATGCACATGTTAGAGCTCTCCAAATGGACTTCAAACTCATCTCATCACATCTGACTTTTTCAGGAAAAAAAAACTGCACTAGTCTGACTATAAAACTAGACAAGAAGCTGCTGTGCAAGTACAGAAAAAAGGCACTCAGATCTATCAAAGCAGCAATAGAATTGATTACCTTTGTTCGAGCAAAGAGCAGCATGGCAAACATGGTGAAGAGAGACAGATGAACAGCCAGTAGCAGAACAACACTGTTGGAAAGAAAATATATCAAAGTATTAACAGTAACTTTTTCTTAATATCCTCTGCTAAAAATGCAAAATTATACCATATAAAGAAAACCAGGTCCTCAGTTCTTCCCTTACAGAAGAGCTTAGAAAAGCAAAATCAAAACCTCCAACTCAACTAGAATTAAAACACCTATGTCACACACACAGTCATGTCAAAGTCTAGAGATCCTGTACAGACTAAAGTGAATCAAAAAGTTACCACAACCTTCACCCTCTGTGACCTGATCTCACTGAGCTACCCAATCCAGAAGGAAGCTGCTCAGATGCCTCACACCATAACACAAAGGATAACAACCTGCCTGCTAACAACCCACCCGTGAAAGGATGTTTTCTATGCTATAACCCACCTCGCCATTTCAGGCAATGTGCTGTTGATACTTTTTAACGTTTTCTTCATCATAGAAGAATTCTGGAGAAGAAAGAAGGGGCGAAGGAGTCTTCTTATTCTCACACTCTGCAAAAAACAACAGATCAGACACTGAACTCCTGCAAGACTGGCAGCACAAATACTTTGAACTCAAGCTTGTCAAAAAGCACTTGACACACACATTGACAAAGCCAACAGCAGAACAGAAAAAGAACTGACCTCTGCTCTTCTGAGCTCACAAAACACCAAAAAAGATTCCATACCTCATTAAAATGAGAAGAGATCACTTTAAAAACACACATTATGTTTCAATAGTCTCATCAGGCCACTAATTAGAAACAATCTAACTTTATTGCATAGTAGACATAACAATCTGGCAAGAGACAGCATTTTTGTATTTTCTGACAAGGTCCATCTTAAGAAAAGGATTAACAGAGAACTCCTTTCAATAAAAACAAACACATATTCTAAAAATAAGTGCTTACGTTTAATTTTCCAACTGTTTGTTTTATAACTAAAGGGCCTGCTTATTACTTAGCAATTTTTGTCTCTGACAAGACTCAAGCTGTAATTGCTTCTTTTCCCCACAACACTACAGCAAATAATCTTTTTGATTCTTGCAGTCAAGACATTTGCAAGCCTTCAAGTCATTGCTATGACTTATTTGTTACTTCAAGTGTTTCAGCATCCTGCATTTTAGGATCGGTTTTCCGTGGGCCACACGTAGCAGCAAAAAAAACCATAAAAATCAACTTTTTAAATTTCTATTCTCTTGTTCATCCATCCCAACAGTTCAACTGCTCCTTCTGCCACTGCTTTGTGTTAGGAGATTCCTGTTCAAACTACCTGTCCACTATCACAGCTCAAGATTTTACACTTTAAGATCATGTCTCTCTCATTCACTTCCCAGCATTTTTACCACATTAGTATTTTCTTAATAAGGATTGCAAGTGTGCAGCAACTAATTTAATGTAAATCTGTGGCAGACAAAACCAACTGGGAGAGTGCAATATTGCATCAAGGAGGGCACTTCCAGAACTGTTTCCAAACCTGATGTTCCTCTCAGGACACAACCGTTTTGAACACAGCACAGCTTCAGGTCAGAAAGCAGCTGTTAAACTACTTAATTACCTTTTTCTTATACTTCACTAGAGAGGCTTTGCCATTCAGTCAAGTTAAGCATATAATTCTCCAGTTGCACAACAAAATTCATGCCAGGCAATGAGTTTTCCCTGCATACTTTGACTGCTGACAGACTAAAGCAATTAGTTATTTAATATTACCAACAAACACACAATTTACATTAACAATCAACAGAATTCTTTGCTAAGCTACATTACACCAAACTTTTTCTGTATTTCAGTGCATTATCCAGCTATCAAAGACCAAAGTAAAGCTGTTCTTACCTCTTTGCAGATAAAACTCAGTGACACAATCCAATCAGCAAGGGAAACAATCAACGTCAGTATATAAGCCATTAGCCATTTATTTTTCCAGAATTCTTTCCATCCAATTAAGTAACTCTAGACAAGGGAAAAAAAAGAGTAACTTTAATTATTTCAGTAATAAAATCCAATACCCAAATAAGTCGTACCAATTTTTTTCCAAGTATTTGCAATTTTACATTAGTGCTCTTAAAAAGCTCTCTAAAATCCAAACAAAAATACATTGTTGAGAGATTTTTTTTGTACAAGAACTAAACAAAGGTCAGTAAAAGTGAAAGGTGCACATAGACCATGAGAGACAAATCCTCTGAATGCAAGAAAATTCTCCACTTAATAAGGGACTTTCCAGAAATAAGTATTCCCAAGAAGAATAAGTATGACCAAGAAAGGTTAGTTTCTGACAATTTTTATTTTGAGTAAATGAACTGACATATTTATTATATACCCTGATTTTATATCCTAATGCAAGCAGCTAAGCCAAAACACTTGCATTCTTCAAAAAATTTATTTCACTTTATTTCACACAATTAGAAAAATTAGGTTAAAAAAAGGGAATCAATTTTAATTTCTTATTTATTAAATATATTCAGTTAATGTATTAATTATAGTATTTGATTGAATTTATATTTTATTATATTATTATTTAAATAATCAAATTTAAATCTTAATTTAGTATATTCACTTGCTAATTTATCCTGAAGTAAGGCTCTAATAAAGCAAGGCAATTTCATCCTGCAAACACAAGATTTGAAAAACAATTCTACCACACACCTACCATTTCATTCAATACCAGATGAAGGAGATGCTCACCTTCACAGATACATCAACCACAAACACAAGGAAGCAGAGCAGCTCAATGCTCTCTGTGAGGCCACAGGGAGGATTCCAGGCAGGAAGGCGGTATCGCACATCCGATGTAACAGTAAGCGAGGAAGGCTCTTCAATGAAAGCCAAAGCCAAGATTACAGTAATGGTTAAGCTCAAAATCCTGTTTGGACAGAGATGAAATTAAAAATAAAGCAAACAAAACCATAAAAAAATGAACTAAAAAACATACCTCAAAACAACTCCCAAAAAAACAGCCACAAAATGAGTCAAAATAATAACAAAATACTTACAAAAGCAATTTTCTTTGAAGTAAACCAAGCTTTATGATACTGTATTTCACTCAAATGGGTTAGACCACAAGGCAGCACTTCACTGGCATGTTGTTGCCTGTACTGGAGTTGTAACTGCTGACCACCAAATAACCTGAGGTGGTGTCCTTTTGAAACTAACAGCAGCAAACAATCTTGCTGGTATCCAGCATGTTTAGAAATAGACACTTTAAAATTCTCAAGGCACAGTGCTTTAAATCATGCTAATTAGCCTACTCATGCAACACTCCCATGGCTGTTTCAAAGAGCCATCTATATCATCACACTTCCACAGAATTTGCTGCTTTCCACATCTATCATGTTCACATATTATCAATCCCCTTGCTCCCCACAGTAATTCATATTATAATATTATAGTATTTTATATATAATATAAATATATTTATAATATTATTGTAACAATTATAATTTGATAAAAAAACAAAACGATTATCTAACAAGCAAGAAAGACAAAGAGTAGTTTTTCAGAAAGACTAACTCCTAAACAAAAAAGCAAAAAGAATAAACAAGTTCTTACCACTGGCAAGTCCTGGAATAATACCATCGATAAAGCCACAGGGATTTGGAGTCCACACGGTGATTTATAGATCGATACTGAAGGCAGGAAGCAAAAAGGTTAATTCAAACATCACATTCAGTCTGTCTCGAAGACAAAGATCAAGTTACCAAAGCAAACTAAATGAGTACATGTTATTATTAAACTATCAGGTCACCCATGACCACAGAGGTACTCTACATGTGTAAAAAGGGAAAGATTTTAAGGAAGTTCTGTTATCTAAAGACCACACAGCTGCTCAGATAATTAAACTGTGTGCCAGTCATCTGAAGTACTGTCATAATTTCAAATAACAGCATTTGTAATAATTCAGTGACTATTCTATGTACTCGCCAAAATGGTACACCGACTTGATTTCCCTCTCCAACATTCATCCTACTCGTGGATCTTCTTCCATCTTTCTCTTCCAACAGGCCATAAGATGCAAACAAATTAATTCTGAATCGAAGAGACTTCAACTTATGTCTTTGAATAAAATACGCTTGCAGATCAGGAAGTGCCTGTGATTCTTCAGGAATCCCCAAAATCCATCCCTCCTCTGTGACAGCTTCTGGGCGGTTCTTAGTCTGTCCCCACTGAGTAGATGCTTCCAGAAAGGTGGCCACACCTTAAATACATGTGACCCACAGAAATCTTCCAATCAAAAGCCATTTAGATGCAGCAAGAGAGCTCAAGAACTGGCCTTCAGCATTCCCACTGCCTGGGAGAAAACAGGATCTAGGAACCTGCAGCAATGGCCAGTTGAAAAATGTCTTTCCTTTGAAAGACAAAGAGGGACTCATCAAGACTTCCAAAGGCACCAAGTTCAGCTGAAGCTGAAGAGTTCCAGCTTCACACTTGAAACAAGCCTTAAACTCTTAAGCTTTTACCATCTCTTAAGATGTGCAAGTAGTCAGATTGAGAGGCAAATTATAGGGTTAGCTCAAATAGTTTATCTTAGCAGTAGGTTAGTCACTACCAAAACACCCACAAACAACCCAAACAAATAAACAAACAAAAAAAACCACCATGAAAATCATTCCACAAACCAACACGTCTTTAAAAACCCTTAAGACAGATTACTTCATTGTGGGGAAAAATATATTTCTCCTAGGCAGAAGTTCACTGAGACTTGTATACTACAGGAATTTGGAATTCTGATTAGCCTTGTGAATTGAGATGGTGGTTTATGAACGTTGGCTGAACACAGAAAAACTTAAACTGGCAGAGCGTGTGACAAACATCCAGCATGGGGAGCATAACAGCTACCAAAAATAATTTTACTTACTTGTATTGCATCTTCAATAAATACTATGGCTTGGTTTATATAAAGGTTATTACCAGCGCCAGCAACTATGAAGTCAAAAAGAAGTAAGAATCACTCACTGTATTTTGGATAAACTTTGGATTAAAACATCAGTTAACAGAAAGTGCACAATCACAGTTGTCATGAGAAAGAGCACCGTAAACACACAAAAAAAGAGTTCCTGCCACATTTGCTCTGTCAGCAGCACTGTGGATTACACTAAATAACTAATAATAATATCCAACACACCATGCAACTTTCTATGTTTTGTTAAAAGGTTCTCTTTTAGGTTTAAGTATTAGGTACCAGATTACACTCGTAGTTAAGTATCGCAAAACTACACAGAAACAAGTTCTAACAGGGAAAATAATGGAGATTCAAATTGCTCTTTGACAGAGTATACAGTCAAGTCAAGCCAGAAAAATCAGGCACTACTATTATAGCAATTTTAATTTTTGTTTAATAAAGATACTGCAGTTGAGAGTGATCTTGTTCCTCCAAAACCAACAGGAATCTCCAGTCATATGAGAATTAAATTAAGTGCTTTTTAAATTTGTTCTGAGAGTTACTATTACCATACCAAAAAGATCAGAGCTCAAGACACAGGAAGGGATGAAAGAACACAAATTGAAATAAAATACCACTAAATTAGTTACTATGACACTTTTCAAGATCCAGTATTAAGAAGTCTATGTGAAGACAGACCCATAAAAAATAAAAGGCAGACACTTGTGTTTACTTGAAATAAGACCTTTCAGGAACTAACCTGGCAATTAAGCCAAAAAGAGAAATAAAAGCAGATTTAAAAGGTCAAAAAAAGGAAGGAAAAAAAAAAAGCAGAGATATAAAAGAGATAAAAAACTGAGGGGGACTCAAGATACGAAAAACATTAAAACATGCTAGTGTAACCTTGCTACAGAGGGCAGGAGTCCCAAGGAACACTTCATACCATCTCTATTGAGAAGACAGCAATCGCAACCCGGGATACAACAGAAAAGAGTCCATCCCAGCAGTTGCACAATGCCCTTCCTCCAGACACCAAGCAATGCCAGAAACACCATTGATCACAGTCACAGATAATTTTATGTTCCACGTGATTCCGTACATCAATTTCCTGCAAAGACTGCAAATGGTTTTTCTATGCCACCCTTTTTCTAAGCATCAGTTTAGTACTGATCCTGATAGGAGCCATGGCACAAGAAAGATGTGAGCACAAACAGTAGAAAAGCCAGGCTCACGCAGTAAAGACATTACTTCTTTCATGACATCTCACACTAGTGAGATAAAAATAAAAGTTGCTTAAAGGAACCATTAGCTAAAAGGATGGCAAGGACAGCAAAAGCTTTAGGTACTTGAAGCACACAGCAAGCCACTAGTGTTGATGCCAGCAATTTTGGACGGGCAGAATCTAAGTGACTGTTCATAATATAAAAATAAAACAGGGAAATTAGCCAAAAATGTTTATTTTAGCAATTTCTTCATGCATTCTACCATGGATATCCAACTTATTCTGCAATTCTTAGTCACAGCAAGTGACACTTAGTCACAAGTGATGATTAAAGCAGTGTTCGGTTTGGGCACACAGGACCCATCCGAGACCCCGCTGCACTTCTGGCACTGCAGAAGAGCAACAAAAAGTGAAGGTTCCCTTAGGTGATGCGATACCCTCAACAGAGAGAACCTGAGGTCTCCAAAGGATTCCATCCTGGGGGAATTGAGATGTCAGACCTACCACAGTCACCGGGTTCGAGAAAAACTTGTCAGCACTTAAGAGGAAAACCCTAAAATTACATAAGGAACTAAAGAAGCCAGGGGCTGCAGCAGCCCTGCAAGGCTCGCACCTAAGCCCGGCGCTAGCGGCTCCCTCAGAGCCGTCCCGACCGGAGCCGTCGGGAGCAGCCCGGGCAGGGCGGCCGAGCCCCACCAAGCCCCTCGGCAGCCGGGGGGCTTCCTGCCCTTCCCGTTCCTCCCGCTCCCGGGAGCGCCCCAGCTCTGCGGAAAAGGCGAGAGCTCCGCCCGCCCCGGGCACTCACCGTCCTCGGCGGCCGAGCGGGCACCGCCGCGCTCCTCCCACCGCTGCCAGCGGAGCCGGCGCTGCCCCGACGTTCGTCCCCCGGGCGCCATTTCCCGGCCGGCGCTGGCGAGCTGGGGTACGAGAGACGTGGTGGTGTGGGGTAGAAAAGTGTCGGCTTTTCACCTAAACTTCCGAGGGCGGATCCCACATGTCATTTATAGATTAAAAATTATATCCCTGATGAGGAGTTGCATCTTTTTTGCCTCACGCCAGCTGCAGGCTCCTCAGGGCAGCAGCGGGGCCGCTTCCCGTATGTATCACAGTCCTGAATAACCATTTTCATCCTTGGTTGCAGAAAGCACTTAATTTCTATTTAATCACCTAGGTATTCCATAAGCAACTGTGAACTTCACTCATGTTGCTTTTACTGTTAAAAGATGCTTCACTTGTGCTCCTTGCCCTCTTTTCTCACGGCCCCCCTTCACATGCCCTTCCACTGGTCAGTTTCATAAAACTTAAGTTTCAGAAGAGGTGTCAGGACAAATTTGAGAACACTTTTCTGCCACATACTGGGACCTGTGGCAGCATAGTAATAAACACGAGGGTTTATCAATCCTTCATTTTAGTATTCCAGGCTGTGAAGTAAAAGTAGACCCATACTTTGCTCTTAAATTCAAAGTTACACATTGTTTATCAACCTGGGTGCTCTTTACTTCAGTGACTATTTTACACATTTACTAGTCAATACTATGTTATAGTCACCTTATAAGGTGACTTAATTGTAAGAACTAGTTGAATTGCAGATAAAATCATGGAACAGGGAGCAGTGTTCACTGTGGACAATGGTGTTGCCATAAGCCAGCTCTCTTTCAGGGCGGTATGTAGAGATAACAGGCTCATAGTCATGATGGGTCACAAATTCAGCCAAATGACAAAAAATTCGTCTCTATGGGCCACCTTTATTTAACTCTGAAAAGGAACATGTATAATTTTATACATGTTTGATAAATAGCAGTGGGGTAGCTTTTGCTTTCATCTGCACCACTGTTTAGTCAAAAATTAGTTTAACACTGATTTCCAATTAAGTCAGGGTAAGATCCAGATGAAGATAATAAAGAAAACTCTTTGATGTTATCTTTACCATAATGGATGTGCAGTGGATTGACCTGAGCTGCTCCATCACTCGCCTCCTCAGCTGGACATGAAGAGAAAATATGAATTAAGGTGCAGGACAGGTCACTCACTGAATACCATCACAGGCTAAACAGTTGACACAGCAAAATTATTTGAATTTATTAGCAATCATATCAAAACAGGATAATGAGAAATAAAGCAAATCCTAAAAACAACCCAGTTCTCCCTCCTTCCTGAGCTTAAATTTATTCCTGATTCTCTACCCCTCTCCCTCAGTGGCATAAGGAGACAGTGCACGGGATTATGGTCAGTTCCCATTGTTTCTGCTTCTTCCTCAGGGCAATGAGTCCTTCCCCCCTCCTACAGTGTGGGGGTTTCCCTCCCACAGAGAACAGTCCTCCATGAACTTTTCCAACATGAGTCTTTCCCACGAGCTGCAGTCTTTCAGGAACAGCCTGTCCCATTGTGGGCTCCCCACAGTGCCGCAAGTCCTACCAGGATACCTGCTCCAGCATGGACTCCCCTCTCCATGGGTCTGCAGATCCCTTCCAGGACCCTGATCCAGCATGGGCTTCTCCCTGCTCTGGTGTGGGCTCCTCCATGGGCTGCAGGTAGATCTGTGCATCCCTGTGCCCTCCATGTTCCTTCTGCCCTGACCTGGGTGTCTGCAGGGCTGTTCTCCTCATATATTCTCACACTGCTCTTCTCTGGCTGCAATTACTTCTGCACAATACCTTTTTCTCCTTCTTAAATCTGTTATCAGAGGCATTAATCCCATCACTGGTTGGCTTGGCCTTGGCCAGTGCTGGGTCCATCCTGGAGCCAGCTGGGATTGGCTTTGCCAGACACTTCCAGGAAGCTTCCAGGAGAAACTTCCAGGAGCTTCTCAAGCTGTAGCCCTCCCCAGCTAAAACCTGGCCACACAAACCCAATACAAGTTGTCTCCAGTAAAAAGTGAACATCATCAGCTACACGTTAGAATTATTTCCCATTCTCAGTAGGCAACAAAGTATTGAATAACATTGGAGCTAAGTGTTGGTAACAGTTGAACTAGTGGCATCAGGTGGAACAGACACAGTGAAAATATTTGGATAGTAAAAGGAAAATAGGACTGACCTGGTACTATCTGTAGTCAGCATTAGCAGGCAAGAAATAAAATG